TGCACAGACACTATAATCACTTGCCTGTGTGTCCTCTGCCACCACTGAGTCCCCATCAGCCCTCATCCTAATGCCTTCAGCCTCCCGAACTCTTAATCGCCAGAAAGAATTTCAATGAAACCAAAATCTGATGTTGGTGTTCTAACTAAAAAGCCTCCAAGTCTCCATGGCTCCCCCTTGCCAACACAACACCGTGAGGATGTGGCCTGGCCTTTAAGGCCCTGCACATGATGAGCCTAACAGTGATTCCCAAACACATCCCACATGGTCACACTTCTGTTGGTGTACAGTAGGAGAACAAGCCAGATGTTCACTTACTTCCAAGTCTTCCCATCTTGGCACTTGCTCACTGATTTGAGCCTGTTCCTCTAACACTGCCTAAGAAAGAAGTCTGGGGTTTTCAGAACCTAACCTTCCCTTCCCTATATTCTCCTCATCCCACCACTCCCTCAAACATGTCCCCCATCCTCTCATCCCCACAGCCCCATGTTTAGCTCTCATCTTTGCTCATGAGGATTTCTGCAAGAGCCTGCTAACCTGTGTTTCCCTCCTAAGCTTACCAACTTTCTCAAGCCCCAAGTGACGCAAACATTTCTAAATCCTAAAACCACTGTCCATGGAGGCAGAGTAAAGGATGCCACAACTTGCCTATCCCACACATTTTCCCTTATTACCAGCAAAAAGCAGTGTGGTAAGAAATGGAAAATCACTGTAGAAGCAGAGATGAGAGCTGTATACCTCTTCTTTAGCAAATGGGTATGGATGACTAACCTAAACTTCATACATTAAAAGTCTAGTTACTGGAAACATTTTAGCCAAAAAAATATCCCTGGCATACATACACATTACTCTATACTGCAGGGTTAACAACCAACCAAATCATGTTAAGCTAATAATGAGAAAGCCAAGTTGACAGCAATTGATAATTAAGCATCTAGATTCCCAGCCATTACAAACTGTCACAAATTCATGGCCTCACTGACACTGCCCTGATAGCATGCTGTTTCCAAGATCTGAAGAAACTCCAAGCAGAGTGCTCATGCTAAGAGGGACCAGAGACACAACAGTGCTAAGCACAGCAAGGTCCTGGCCTCCCAGAGGAACACAGAATAGAGTCATCCAGAAACTCCAGCAAGGCACTAACAAGACCAATCACATTTCGGTAACTTCACATCTTTATGATTACTGGTAGCTAGCTGCAGTCATGTCTTGTACTTGGGAGCCCAGAATTTTGAGTCTTATATCCACAAGAACTGATAAAAAGACGGACAGAAAAATCAGAATAGGATCACCACCCTTCAGGAGGTCTTAAGGAGTACTGTTCATGTCTACAGAATCCTGATTCTAAAAGACAAATCTGATCTAGCAACTCACTAACATAAAATTCTACAGTGGTGTTCCTCTGGCTTGTGGAATAAAAACCAAAACCCCTGTTCAACCTGGTCCCCAAAGAAGGTCCTGCACAATCTGGCTCTAGCCCATAGTTTAGAGCTTACTACCCTCCCCCCATGGCTCTCGCCACATGCCCTACCACCCTCCTCCTCACAGTTTTCTGGGCATGCCATGCTCTGGTTAACCTCCCTGGCCACCTAACTACACAGCTGTCTGAAATGCCCACATGCACTTCTTTCCCAACCCCTCCCTGACAAACACTTTGCTAAGACCCATTTCAAGGGTCACATGACTTTCTACTCCCCAAGATGAATGAGGAGTCCACATCTGTGCTTCCATGCATCTGGCAGAATCTGGACCACCCTGTTTACCACACAATTAAGAGTATAAGATCACCTTGACTGATATTTTCATTACGATCTTTACTGTAACTCATTAGGAAGCACAAATTAGAACCTAAAACATTTCAAATTCAAGATCGTAGAAAAGTTATCTTAATTTGAGGTCATGGTACAACAAAAATCCAGCTGGAATTCAGTTTTCCCATTAATTACCTTGAATAGAAGGCCTGGAGAGGGAGGGAGTGTCATTAACCAAGTTCATGCATGAGATGTGTGCTTATGTATGCACACCTCCTCAAACACACACAAGAGGAAAGCTCAAAGCAAAGATGACACGCAGGCTTTAGAATACAAGGAATGTGTTTAAAACAAAAGCCTTACAGTAATGTTTAAGCTTTGTTTCTTTTTTCCTTTCCTCTGAAGAATAACAGTCTTTTCTATTAGCAGCCTAAAATCAAATTTCTTTCATGATTTCCTGAGCTAAGATGTTGGACATTTTTATATGAAAATATTTAGGTGAGGGACTACTTGGGGAGTAGCAGAAGGCATTATAATTTTATTTGATTACACATTTGTTATTAATTTATTAAAGTTCCAAATGAAATTGCATCCCACCTAAGTTCTAGGAGTTGATATTCTGGGATTTAAAGGAATAATTCACTCCCTATTCTACTTGCCAAAACACAATATCCATTCTAAGTACATCTTTGAGAACCTCATGGCTATTTATTGCATTTGGAAAATCAAAGTCATTGCAATCTTCCAAGGAAGTCAAGAGTGAAGGGAAATAGTCTCAGAAGCTATAACAATATGAAGCCAACAGACCTGTGGAGTACACAGCTAGGCTGGGGCCAGACCATGCAGTCCTCTTCACAGGCCATGCAGGGCATATGGACTTCACCCAAGTGCAGTAGGAGGTCACTGACAGGTTTTGAGTAGACCATGTGAAGTGAAATCATATGACAAGTATTTTTTAATGATTAACTAGGCTACCACCAATTCAAAGGCCTTGGTGATAACCTAGGTAAATGATGATGCTGGCTTGGAGGTGGGAGGGCAGTGGATGGATTCAAGATCCACTTTGGAAGAAGCATTGTTAGAACTTGATCATTTGAAGGAAGAGAAAGGTAAATATTAACATTTAACTCCCAGATTAGAGCCTGAAAAGTGAATTAACAACTGTATACCTTAATGAGATGGAGGGGAGGAAGTAGGTCCAGAAAGGGGCTAATGGTAGAAGATGAGCAAGAGTCAAAACTTAGACACAGTAAGCTTGAGGTGCCCAAGTGAAAGCCATGTTTGCTTACTGCTATAAAAGGAATAAAAAGTACTGTACAACACAGAGGAGTCAGGTGGAATGATGGGCACCTGGTCCTCACTGGGTGCTTGAATGTCCTACCAATGTGCCAACTCAAGTTGGGGTATGGCCACAGAAGGAGCTTATGGCACCAAACTCAGTCAGGACATACACAGTCGCTTTTACTATGATCCTTAGTAACAAAATACCAGCCTTGGGATTAAGAACACAGTTAAATGGTATTTTCATCTGGAAGTGTGTGGCCAGACACACTTTCTTTAAGACTTAAGTTTTAGGTTTGCTAATTTTTTCTTTTTTTTCTTTCAATACTGGGGATTGAGCCCAGAGTCATTCTGGCTGGACTCAAATTTAGATCCTCCCACCTCAGCCTCCTGAGTCACTGGGACTATAGGCCTGCATAACCTTTCCTGGCTAAGATTTTCCAGTTTCCTGATGCTGATGTTTAAGGATTCCCAGTAAAAGGGAATATTAGTATTTGGTCTTGGTCCCTGACACTTATACACTTGGGAGTACCATACTATCTAGGGGATTCCAGGATAGAGTCTCCCATAGGAAATGTTAATCCAAGGTGGTAGTACAAGAAAACCTCTCAACAAAAATGGTCACAGAGGATGGCCTATTTTACATGCAATTGTTTACCCAAATCATGTCCCACTCTTCAGGCATTACACCTGTTTCTAAACTAGAATCTGGGTTTTTATTATGATGGGTCTATTTTCTAATTTCCCCATCAAAAGACAAATCAAAATGTCAGTTCACAATCTGCTTTCTAATTAAAAGTTGAGCTTTTTTTTTAAAAAAAAATCACATTTAACTAAACAATTCCACATGGCAATCCCACTGTGCTCTGCCACCTTGACTGATAGATAGAACAACTTGCCTTATTTAAATATCATTATCATTAGATACAGCTAGAGTAACCTGATTGAATTCTTGTTTAGTATCATCCAGTTTACTCATAGAGTAAGATAATGCAGCATTTAAATAAAATACATTTCCTGCATTCAAGAAAACCCTCCCAGAAAAAAGCAAAAAACCACTTTCAATACTGACTGGAAGGTCCCCAGGAGAAATATGCCTTCTTATGCAAGAAAGCTAACTGGCTGGAGTGTGGGAAACACCAGGGTTATACTGCATTTCTCAACAGAAAGTCAAGACTCTACTTCTGAAAGGAACACTAAGGTGGGTAAAGGACAGAACTTCCAGGTTTTGTGGCAACAGCAGTTTGCCACAGTTTCCAGAGGGAAAAATCAAGATATCACATGGGAGGTAAAAAGTGAATTCAGTTCACATTGGCTTGTGACTTTATACAAGACACTGAGCTTCTGAGTTTGTTTCCTGACTCTGAAAATGAGAAGTGACCAAATACTTGGTAGAAGAAGAAAATCTGATATGTGTAGAAACACAAAAGGGAAACCATTTTACAAATGTAAAAGACAAATGCAATTACCTTGGGGCAGGAAGGGTTGGGACAAGTCTTCCAAGAAAATGGGAAACCAAGAAAACCAATGAAGTGCAAAAGGATCTTCTTTGGGATATTTAAAAGGTGCATGAACAGTTTGAGAAATGCAATCTGCTAACTAGTTCATTTAACTCAAAAAAGGTTTTGATGCAGAAAGATGGGTAAAAATGCAACTGTTCATTGACTAAAGTATCACAGGGGTTCATATGGATGTAAAAGGCAAGCCAGGCAGCAGAGAAGAGCAGCTATAACCACAGCAAGACCAGAACCCCACCACAAGACCCCTCCTCATGCAACTCCCATTTGACACCAGCCAAAGGACACAGAGGTAAGCTGGGGAGGCACCTGAAAAGGTCTTTGAGGATAAATAGGAAAATGGCCAGAGAGAAAAAGTAAAATATTACATACACAAAAGGGCACGTTTCAGGAATGTCAAAAACAGTTATATCTCCCCAAAGATGAATTTCCCCTATAAGAGAATTTTTACCTTGTCTTCAAATTCAAGAATCACTGTTTCAATAATTTCAGCAAAATGATTTCCAGTAAAGGTATCTTGAATATTCCTGTTGAGAAATTAAAAGAAGAGGTATAACAGGTACATGGGTAGGGAATACCCCTCCATAGACCCCTTCTTTGGAACCCCTATCAATACACGGCTCCCCTCCTCAAGAAACTGGCAGGGGATGAACATCTACCACCACTGTCAGCCACCCTGTCCCCATCAGACAGAATGAGAATCATGCAGCCCCTAAATTAGAGGGGTCTTCCTGCTCCAGTTCCCAGCAGGAATGGTCAAGCATTCCTGAGCAAACCATCCCCTAACTTAAGCTGGCAAGAGAGCACTTCTCTTTCCTATGACCAACAAACACCAATTTTAAAATGAGAGATCCAGAGTCAGGTCTCAAAAAAGAAACGAAAGTGAAGGAGATTCAAGATGGCGAGCTAGAGGGAAGTTGCATTCCTTGGCTCCATGACCTAGGATTCAAGCAGTGGGAATACTTTTGCTCTGTGAGTTAGAGAATCCTGGACAGCTACACCCATCAGGACGCCCAGCCAGCACACCCATGCAGACCCCCATCTACCACCATGGCACTCTCCCAGTCGCCTCCATCTTGGGACACTGCAACCATTGCTACAGTCCCCTTCACATGGTAGCCTGCACCTGGGGACACTGGACAGGATGTAAAAGCCCAGCCAGGCAGCAGAGAAGAGACAGCCACCCACTGTAGCACTACACACCATAGAGCTGCATCTCCAAACATGCAGCCCACTGCCACTGCCCAGCCATCTCTAAAAGCGGACACTTCCATCTTGGGACACCTTCATCAGCATCTTGAGTTATGCTCACTACCACCATCTCCATATTTAGTTGGGGCAACTCCCATCTTGAGATACTGGCTGGGACCTAAAAGCAATATTAAGGTACCAACAGTCCTCCAACCACCCTGCGCGCCCCCCACCCCCCACCCGCACATAGCCACTACCCTGCACAGTTTTTGCAGCTATGTGGCCAGCCGGTAGCTTGCAAAGCCTGGTATTAATCTGTCCAATACAAAACAGCTCTCTGCAATAGGTACACAGGCCCCAGACCGCAGTCAAACAGGACCTCAGAGAAAGAGGTTCCTGATTGGGAAGTAGAAAGGGAGGAGGTGAGTGTGATACAGTTTGAAGACTAAATTAGAGACCAGGAATCGTGGGGTCTACAGGGGATATAAAGGGATAAGACCAGGTATCCACATCACACAAGTGGGCTCCAAAGGAGATCCTTGGATGCAGTCGTCCAATTAGGAACAGGAGAAGCTATATCCTACCTCCAGGAGCTCCACCCCCAAGACCAACCCTCCCACCCTAATAATCTTCACCATCCTGAGGGTGGAGATACCAGCAAACAACAGACAGCCCCACCTACCAGGTGAGAAGGAAAGCAAAGAAGATACTGAACTTCAACAGAAACAATCCCTTAATTTTCCTTAGAGATTTGTTTTTCTTTCTTTTTTTTTTTCATTTCTCTCTCTCTCTTTTCCTGCCCTCACATCCCAAACATTTGTGAAAGCAAGTACTTTTCATGCATTAGGCTACTAAAGACTGGGATGTGTGAATAGTATATTGCAGTTATGTTGTATAGTCTTCAATCTTTTATTTTCTTTTTCTTGATTTTTTTTGTTTTTTTGTACTCTATTTTCTTCCCACTTACTTGTCCCCATAGTCTCTTTCTCTTTTCTCCTGCTACCAGCCAACTTCCTTTGATTCCTCTTTCACACTTCCTAAGATCTAACACCTCTAATCCTCATCTCCCAAATCCTTAACATCTCATCCTATACCCCCAAATTCACTCTTTATCCACCATTAGAAACTGTAGACCCTTTTGTAAACCTACTGTTTATATTGTATATAATTACTGAAATCACCATTTCTGTCTATTGCAACAAAACTGTAACATCATAATAGGAGCTATTTGGTTTAAGGCTTTGTTTGCATTGGGATCTGTTAATATTGATCTTCCCCTTAAAGAAGAGGTATTAGAATCCTTCAGGGACACTATAAGTGTACAAGGTAAAAAGTGCAATATCTCAGATCCATACCACTAGAGGGGAAGACACATGAACAACATGAAAAAACAAGGGAAGAAAGTCTCTAAACAAACCAAGATACTACATTATTAAAATCCATGGCCAGTACAGAAGAAATGTCAGAGGAGTTCAGGAGGTATGTAATTAAAATATTCTGCAAATTAAAGGATGATATAAGAGAGCAAACACAGGCAATAAAAGATCATTTCGATAAAGAGCTACATAAGCAAATACAGGAAGCAAAAGCTTACTTCAATAAGGAGATAAAAAAATCTTAAAGAAAAAAAACCAGAAATCCATGAAATGAAGGAAACAATAAACCAAATTTAAAAATTCTCAATAGATAGAATCGCCAACAGATTAGATGACTTGGAAGACAGAACCTCAGACAATGAAGACAAACTATATAAATCTTAAAAATAAACAACAGCAGATGAGGTAGAGAGGGAAGATGGGAGGGGAGGGGAGAAGGGATAGTAGAGGATAGGAAAGGCAGCAGAATACAAGTCACTAATATGCCATTATGTAAAAACGTGAGTGTGTAACCGATGTGATACTGCAATTTGTATTTGGGGTAAAAATGGGAGTTCATAACCCAATTGAGTCAAATGTATGAAAGATGATATATCATGAGCTTTGTAATGTTTTGAACAACCAATAAAAAAAAGAAAAAAAAATCATAAAAAAAAAGTTGACCACACAGTGAAGATGGTAAGAAACCATAAGTAGAATATCTAAGAATTATAGGACAATATGAAAAGACCAAATTTAAGAATTATAAAGATAGAAAAAGACACAGAAATATAAACCAAAGGAATGAACAATAAATTCAATGAAATAATATCAGAAAAATTTTCCAAACCTGAAGAATGAATTGGAAAATCAAATACAAGAGGCTTGCAGGACAACAAGTATACAAGATCACAACAGATCCACACCAAGCCATATTTTAATAAAAATGCCTAGCATACAGAATATGGAGAGAATTTTAAAAGCCACAAGAAATCAGATTACATATTGGGGGAAACCAATTAGGATCTCTGCAGATTTCTCAACACAGACCCTCAAAGCTAGGAAGTCCTAGAACAATATATACCAAGCTCTGACAGAAAACAGTTGCCAACCAAGAATCTTATATACAGCAAAATTAAGCTTCAGATTCGATGATGAAATAAAAATCTTACATGATAAACAAAAGTTAAAAGGACGCTGTACCACAGAACATCTTTGGCAAAATATTCCATGAAGAGAGAATGATAATCAGCAAAAGGAAGCACTATACTAAAGGAAAAGCCAATTAAAGGAGAAACCAAGTCAAGTTAAATAACAAAAATAAACCAAAATGACTGGGAATATAAACCATGTCTCAATAATAACCCTGAATGTTAATGGCTTAAGCTCAATCAAAAGACATAGACTGGCAGGTTGGATTAAAGCAACAACAATATGCTGCTTTCAAGAGACTTGTTTCAAAGGAAAAGACATCCACAGACTAAAAGAAAAAGATTGGGAAAAAAACATACCACTCACATGGACTGTGTAAACAAGCAGGGGTTTCTATCCTCATAAAGGATAGTAGACTTCAAGCCAAAGTTAGTCAAAAGGGATAAAGAAGGACATTTCATACTGCTTAAGGAAACCATACATCAACAAGACATAACAATCCAGACACATATAAAATATTTTATCCATCAATGAGTGAACACATTTTCTACTCAGCAGCACATGGATCCTTCTCTAAAACAGACCATATATTATGCCACAAAACAACTCTTAGCAAATATATAAAAAAAATAAGAGTTACTACCCTACATTCTATCAGATCATAATGGAATAAAATTAGAAATCAACAATAAAATAAAAATTAGAAGCTACTCCAACACATGGAGACTAAATAATATGCTATTGAATGAACAATGGATAGCAGAAGACATCAGAGAGGAGATTAAAAAATTCTTAGAGGTAAATGAAAACACTGATACCACATAGCAAAATCTCTGGGACACTATGAAGGCAGTACTAAGAGGAAAGTTCACTGCATCATGGAATTCATTCCTTAAAAGAAGAAAAAGTCAACAAATAAATGACCTAACATTACATCTCAAAGTCCTAGAAAAAGAAGAATAAATCACATCAAAAGTAGAAGACTGGAAATAATAAAAATCAGAGCTGAAGTCAATGAAAATAAAACAAGTGAAAAAGTTAACAAAAAATTGGTTTTTTGAAATAAATAAATAAAATTGATAAACCTTTAGCCATGATAATGAAGAGAGAGAGAGAAAAAAAAACTTGGATTACTAAAATCTGTGATAAGAAAGGAAATATCATGATGGACACTACTGAAATACAGAAGATAATTAAAAACTATCTTGAAAATTGATACTGCAATAAAATAAAAAATATCAAAGACAAATTTCTAGAGTCATATGATCTACCCAAACTGAATCAGGATGATATATGCAAGTTAAACAGATCAATTTCAAGCAATGAAATACAAGGCGCCATCAAAAGCCTACCAACCAGGCTAGGGATATAGCTGATAGAATGTTTGCCTCGCATGCACAAGGTCCTGCACAAGCCTACCAACCAAGAAAAGCCCAGGGTCAGAGGACCAGAGGAATTCACAGCTGAGTTCTACAAGACCTTCAAAGAAGAATACAAATACTCCTCAAATTAAGCCATGAAACAGAAAAAGAGGAAACCCTTCCAAACTCATTCTATGAAGCTAGTATCACCCTGATAGCAAAACCAAACACAGACACATCAAGGAATCAAAATTTCAGACCAATATCTCTAATGAACATAAATGCAAAAATTCTTAATAAAACTCTGGAGAATCACATACAAACATATATTTTTAAAATAGTGCATGACAATCAAGTGGGGTTCATCCCAGGGATGCAAGTTTGGTTCAACATACAGAAATCAATAAATCTAATCCATTACATCAATAGATTCAAAGATAAGAATTACATGATCATCTCAATAGATGC